CATTGATGGCCTATGCGATGAACTGCTGGCAGCTACTGCTGGTCCTGAAGTCTAAAATCAGCCCACTCCAGATGTGCTTTTTGAGCTTCTCAGCTAATTTTTCATCTTGAAGGGGCATCTGCCAATTTTCAGCCTCTGCTCATCATTCATTGAAGGAGATGCATACCCACCATTCTGTGTGCTGGGAAAAGCTGAATTTTCAGCTGCCCTGGGAGGAGAAGCATGTTTTGGCAGCGGGTGGGAGCTGGACTGATTTAGCATGACACATATGCTCTGGAGGGAAGCATGTGTCCCATGCTTTTGTCTGGGACACAAGTTAGGGAGTGATTGTAACAGAGCTGGAGGCTTTGGGAAAATAAAAGCCCAATCCCTTTACCTTTTTTTTTCTTTTACTTTTTTTTTCTTCTAAGAGAGAGTGAGAGTGCAGAATATTACAGGAGATTCATTCCAGTTTGTCATTGCTCCTGTCCATGGGGTCCGAGTGAAGGATAGGCCAGAGAAAGTGATCAATGCAGAAGATTGCTGTTACTAAGAAAAGCAAATGCACAGTGCTAGTGAAGATGTGTCTTGGATCAGCATTTCATACTATTCACAGAGAGAATTGCAGGGGCAGTGTTCCTGCACACAGTGCTAGGGAGGAGAAGCAGCCATTGTATAGCTGTGAGATTACCTTCTCTATGAAGAGAGGTACCCAGCTATTGAGAAGAACTACCTGATGTCCGTGGGCTTTCAAGAAGCTGCAGCCATGTGGGTGTCATCTTCCTGCCTACGTGTGTGAACCCTCTGCTGCTCCCTGTGCTGATCCAATGGAGGGCTGTGATGCCAAGCTCTTGCAATGGAGCTTGCTGCTTCATGCTTATGATCTGGAAGAAAGACACAGTAGGAGAGCATGAATGCTAGCCCTGGTGCTTTGCCCTGGCTCACCCCTACCAAGCAGGTTGTAATGATTCCTTGCAATTTGTTAACTAAGATGGGGGAGATGTGGGAAAGTTTGGTATCTTTTCTATGGTCATTGTGGAAATTGGTTTCCTGTTCCACGCTAGGCTTGAATGCGTTACTGTCCATCATTGCCTGGTGGACTATTGGAGAGGGGTTTTAGCTGTGAAGTGCATTAGGCACTTCACTGTCTCTTCTAGTTAATGCACATTCTTTTTGAGGCATATACCAGCCAAGCTTCAGCTATGTTCATAAAGTGCATCTAAACCAATGTAGTTAGATTGCTGGATCTATTTTGCTAGCTTAAATTGAATGAGCAGAGGCATAATCAAAGAAGGGGAACCTAGGTGGAAGAGATAATCTTGAGCTTGACTTTGTTGGTTGCAGTGACTGCTCTTTCAATACCACATTAGAAGTTTTGGCTTGTCTGTATTGACGATACAATGCAGCCACAGCCCCTAAGTAATTTTGTGTTGACTCAAGTGCAAATAGCTTAATCTTACATTTTGCAGGTTGACAAAATCCATATAAAATCTCATGTCATGATCAAATAATTCTCCTAAAGAACTTGTTTAAAACACCTACAATTAATATTAATTTGTAGAGACACAGTATACCTTATAACAGCTTGGTCTGACTAGCAGCTAATCAGATGATAACCAGATTCTTGCTTCTCAATTCACGTGGCCAGGCATTGATGCCGTGTGGCACTTGGCCATGGCACATTTGACCTTGGAAGGCCACGTGGCTCTCTCCCAGAGACGCAGAACATATAATATTTTTTATACATGTCTTTATAATGCAATCACGTTTATATTTGATGAACTTTCAGTCTCTTAGTGGTGTTTTCTGTAATATGTGTTTTATATTTAAAATATAAGAAACATTGTTAAACACAATGTCACTTTGTTTATCAGTAAGTATTACTTTTTCTGCTTTAGGTTTTATGCTTTACTTGTTTTTGTGGTTTAAATTCAGCCTGAGACCTTCAGGGACACAGTAATTGTGGACTCCCCATAGCAGCTCTAGTGGAGATTGTCAGAGAACAGGTAGTTGAATAAAATCAAATGCCATGGTGTATTTCTCCTTACGAGGAATACAACCACTCCTAACACATTTCTTACATCTCTCCCTTACTTTTCACTTTCCTTCATGTTGGTTTATGGGTCAAAAAGGCAGACAAACCACCATCTCTCACTTCATGTGTAACACAGGCCTTAGAATTTTACCCAGTGTCTCTTTTAAGTGACGCCATTAATTTCTTAAAAAATTATTATTAAAAGGAGAGCTTGAAAAAAGCGTGGCCTTTATTTGAAGACCTTGGGAGATAGTCTACCATTTTTTTTGACAGAAGGCTAGGACAATCATCCTCATTGTTAACTATATTATGTCTTATTCTACTCTGGACGTGCCTAAATATATCTTGCAGCTGTTGATTGTCATTGTGCCTTTCTCTGCAGGTTACGGTGCCACCAGTATGCTGTCTTTTCTATGGTGTAATTGAGAGATACTGGTTTAGTCAGACCAGAGTAATGTCTCAAAGAGCCCTCTGTAAGGCATTTTCTGATCATCCTAATTGGTCATGTCATTTTTCTCTGGACTACCTCCAAGCCTTCAACATATTAAAAAAATATAAGTGGGCACCTGCCTTGGCATTGTCAGTTACCGGTGACAGTGACTTCTCCAGTGGTCACCAATGAGGTTCCTGCTCTCGGCAGCTTGTCCTTCCTCCCTCGCTGCACAGGAGCCAGCTATCACACGCCCACAGGTTATCTAGGGGTGCCTTTGAATACAGCAGGCAGTACAAAAAGCTGCCATGAGAGTAGCAGCCTCTGGGAGCAAGGGGACTGGTATTGACACCAAGGGTCCCTTGGAGCTCCCCTTCCCGTCTTGCAGGTGCTTTCCCCCTCTGTGCAGGGCTCAGCCCGCCTGTTCACCATCCATGGAGCCGTGCAGTAGGGTTGACTGCACAGAGTGGTGTCAGAGGCGCACAGACAGAAGAACTATTGGAACTAAAAAATTGGAACTAAAAATATGTATTTATTAGTAACGCATCAAAAATGAAGAGGAAATGATACAAGCAAAAACTGTTTCCATCAGCAGTTACAATCTGCCCACAGTCACTCTTACGTGTTCCCACAGGTCAGGCAACTGATAAGGATTTGTGGATCAACAGGACTGAGACAGTGTGGTGGTCCAGTACCTGAGGAGACTCCACTGGCATTACTGAGCACCTTATCTTGTTTGAGTATGGTCAGCTGTCCAGGTGACTTGTGTTGATCTGAAGGATTCCCTCCGCTTTAGCTACTGATCTTGCCATTTGCAAATTTTATCAACAATATTTTTTACAACTGTTATCTCCTGATGCAAATATTAAACAGCACAGTTCTTGCAGAGAGGCACATACTCTCAGCAGTGACTGCTGCTTCTTTTTGGACAAAGAATTTTTGCCTCTTGTCTGTTAGCTAGTAATTAATCCATATAATGCAAATTATGATCTATACATACACTTATTTTTTCTTCAGAATTTACAAATTTCTTGGCTTGTTAAATCTGCACGAGTGCTTTTATCAACCAAATGCATTATTTCATCACAGAATGAAGCTAGTTTTCTCCACTTTTTTTTAAAGCATATCAAATTATTAATGTTATTTTCATTGTTGAAAACTTTGTTAGCTAACTTGTAAAACCTTCGTGTCTCACCTAGGATTATTACTAAGGAACCATCGAACAGTTTTTGGTGTCATCTCGCTTTCTCTCTGTGAACACTGACACAACATACTCTTCCCGGATATTGGGATTTCTTTAGAATGCCAGGATTTTTAATTACCTAACTCCATTGGGCCAGGTGCCTCCTCAGCCGAATCTTTTGTGATTCTGAGATGCAAATTTTCTTGGCTACTGAGCTGAAAATACTTATGCTTAATAGATGTGGTTAAAACATTCCTTAGTTCACAAACAGATCGGGAAGTTGCTTACCATCCTCATGTAGTATGAATACACAATTCTGTTTCTTTCTGTATACAAACAACTATCTTCTCTGTATCAAAAAGCCTCCATCAAAAATCTTCTCTCAACAGTTATATCTGTATCCACCCAGTAAGAGCCTAGGCTGTTGCTAGAATTTCTTGGTTTTCAACGTATTTTGAAAAAACTCCTTCCAAGCACTGTTAGCACTTGCAGCAATCCAGTTTTTCCAGATTATTTTGAACACTCCTTATCACTTTGTATGCTTCATAAATTCTCACATTTATTGTGTGCCATATACCTCCTTCCCATCCACATCTTCCTTCTGCTTTTTTTTTTTTCCCCTGCTAGTTATATACAAGATTTCTATATGTATGTTACCTTCAAATTGCCTGTTAGGCAAGAAAAGCGTTTAATCGTGTCTATCTTTTTCACAACTACAGAACCACAGATCTTCTCCATCTTGTAAACCTCTAGCAGTGAAATTCCTATTAAAAATTTTATTGTAGCTTTGTCCTGGAGAGTCATGTTTTTCTAACTGCTTGACTTGTGATCAGTTTAACCCGTAACTTACTCTGTTTGAGGATTTGCCATTTTGAAGTACCAATTTTGCCTACGTATTTGCCCAACTTCACAGATAGAACACATGCATACATAAATATCTTACTTAAACACTTGCCTCATAGGGATTAACCAAATATACTTGTATACACCTACAGATACAGACCTACATACATGTGTAAGTGCTGTATACTTACTTACAACATGGACACTTATATACATACATCTATATACAGTCCTACTCACCTACATACAATTTAATTTTCCTTGAAGACAGAGAAGAGGCATTTCTAAAAATGTCTGCATGTTGTACCTAATGCAGTATCCCAGTAAAGAGCTGAGGTTATCAATGTTGCCCTCTCAAGATGAAAACATGTTTTTCTGTGAGTCCACCTCCGATGGGTCACTAAGCTCCTCCACCCCTCCCATACCGACCAGTAGCTCTTTTAATATTTGGACAGGGCTGGCTGTCCTGAGCAGAATGTGTCAAGGGACAGGAGACAAAGGACTGCAGGTGGGTGACACAGGGGTTTCCTCTATTCTGAAGCCCTTAGAAGTTGCTCAGACTTTGGTTTAGCTGAAAAGGAGAGAGAAAAATAAGAAGATGCAGGAAGACCAAAGTGGTGCAAAACATCACCTTGTGCTGCCTTCCACCAGAAATAAGTCTCCAGCTCATCTGCTCTCCACCTCTCCCTCCAGGATCCTGGGCTATCCTGACCTCCATCTCTCCGGAGTGGAGGTGCAGGGGAGAGGAAGATGCTCCTTGCTGCATCTCGCAACAAGGGAAGTGGCTCACCATTTTAAACTCCTACCTGCTCTTCTCCTGAGCAAAATGAAGAGGACAACGATGAAAATGGTGGTAGCGATGAAACCCCCCACCAGTCCTTCTGATCCCGTTTGCTCTGCAGAGGAAGAGGAGGGCAAGTCATGTTAGGTTGGCTGGAGTGGCTGAACAGCCAGACAGTTGTTACAGCTAAACAAGTTCCCCCAGCAAGTGACCGTATGCATGCTCTTGTCAGGTACACGGATGTGACACATCACACATGAGCTAAAGCCACACAGACTCAGGGCCAGTTCTACTGGCTGGACGGATGTGTCGTAACTTGTTACACTGCAGGATTGCTTGCTTTTCCCTGCTGCATCAGGAGGGGACGCAGAAGCAATCTCTCATCAGCAGGGAGAGTGAGAACCCCAACAGCTCCAATGGGGAGAAGGATTTTTTTGCTATAGTTCTTGAGTAGCATCCATCTCCAGCTGAACATCAAGTCCAGCTGGGCAGCTGACTCCTTGGGTCATGGCTGTTTTCTTGTGCCTGTCCAGTGGGGTCCAGCCCATGTGCTACAAACTTTTGCTCTGTTGCTCTACTTTTGGTCATAAAACCTCTTTTCCCCTGAAGGAAATGAAATATTTGCTCTTGAAAAGTTTCAGGGAGTGAAATAAAAGCTGAGGAAGTGAAAGGGAAAGGGAAGAGGAGGATAGAGAGGATGGATATGAGAGGACATCAGAAGGAAATTATAAACAGGCAGATGTGGTGTGACTGAGAGGTTTTGATCTCTGTGGTAGGTATATGAGGTGGGAGGAGGTCTGAGCAGGATGAAGAACTCGCCCCTCTGCCCCGACACCTACCTGGTGCCTTAAGATGGGCACTCACAGAGATGGGCTCTGCCAGGGCCACATGTGAAACATGGCAGCTGTAGGTGGCTGGTGCCCGTGCCGTGGCTGAGCTGATGCTGAGGTAGGAGGTGATGCTGTAGGTGCCATCTCGGCTTTGCCGGTGGCTGGAGAAACGTGCATTTGAGAGAGGGATTTCCGCATCATCCTTGGCAATCTTCTGTGTCCAGCTGACTGAGACGTCCAGTGGGTAATAGCCAGCAATGTTGCAGGTCAGTGTAGTCGTCATATCTCTCTCGAGTGACACCACTGATGGAATGACACGAACTCTTGGAGGCTCTGGAAGAGATAAAGAGGGAATTGACTTATATTTAGCAGAGTACAAAAGTCCTCGTCCGCAAGGGGGAGAAGAGGAGCTGCCTGTGACAATCAGTGTTGGGAGAAATGGGATAAGGGCATAGGGAAAAGTTTCAGTGCCTGGAGACATGGGACTCCTGTTGCCCCCAGCATTTCCCTTCCTCACCAGCCACAAGCAGCTGGATGATGTGCTGGACCTGGTGCAGTGGGGTGGACACCAAACAGATGTATGTCCCTTCGTCTCCCACGGTCACTCCTTGTAGGCGAAGTGATGCGTCTCCACTCGCCAGCAGCTCTGCCACATCCACGTGGAGTTTCGGCTGCGCTGCTGGGCCTGTGCTCCCCACCTGGTACCGGAAAAGGCTATGGCCACTGCCTTGGTGTTGCCTCCTCCACTCCAGGGAGGAAAACGAAGAGCTGGGAGCCAAGACAAAGCGGCAATCGAGGGTGACTGAGCTGCCAAGATGCGTGCGCAGGGAAGTGTTGCGTGATGATGACTGAAATTCAACTAGAAACAAAAAAGGCACAGGCAAGCAGAGAATTAAAACAGATGTGGTTAAAGAAGGCACCCTTAGGTGGGAAGGGCTGGTGGAAGGGCTGGGAGCGAACTCCCCACCCGGAGGAGGAGAAGGTACAGGCACCCTATGTGATGCCCCAGAGGCCATGTGGACTGAAGAGCTGGAGGAAGCCAGCCCGGTGGGGTTAGCGGGGCTGGGAGACAGGCGGACACCAAGTGCATGTCACGGTTTTGAAGGTGCTTGTCATCCTCAGGGGCTGGTGCATGGGAAACCCTGACAGAAGGCAGGGTGGGGGGCAATCTGCATGACCCCTTTTTCCCTGAGCACCAACTCCCGGCAGTCCTCAGGTCCTAGTGAGAAGTGGGGCATGGGAGTCTTGGGGAGGCAGGCTCTCCTCAGCGCTGTGGGGCACCCCGGGCCACCTGGTCACCTGTGGTTAGCAACGTCCCCTCCTTGCTCATAGGAATCATCAGCTTTGGATGCAGTGTTCCATCATGCTCCTCTCCCTCCTGGCTGATGCAGTGGGGTCCTCTGAGCACCAAGGCGATACTGATCCCGCTGGAGAGCTGCAGGGTGGCCACGAACCAGGAGGTGCGGCCGGGCCCCTCACCAGCCGTCTGGGAGCTGGATGGGGAGATCTCGCAGTTCACCTCCTCCCCACCGCAGTCCGCGTGCAGCAGGGACTCTGCATGTGCGATGGATACTGACTGGGCTGTGAGGACAGAGGAAGAGGTTTAACCGTCTGAATCAAAAGGGCGAAAGAAAGTGCAAGCTGATAAGACACACTGTTTTGGAGGAGTATCATGTGCTGTTGAAGCCAGTCAGAGCCCAGAAATGCCAGGCTAGGCTTACCAGATGAAGGCCTGCAAAGAATATGAGAGGTTTGTCATGACTGTCTTATATCACTCAGTCTGTTGGTTATATTTTATCCTGCCAGATTGCACAGAGTTCACTCTGGGCAAAGGAAGCTGTTAGGAAAGGAGAATAAACAGAACAGATTCCCTGTACCTAGCTCAAGAAGCAAGCTGTGTATGGGATATGTCCAGTAAAGACCTACAGTGTTTATTCGTTTTAGGCCTGAATCCAGAAACAAAGGCGACACTGAAGCATACCAGGTAAGGTAAGAAAGGGTGGCAGGAAGACTGTGTCTCTACATCCAGACAGTCCTTCATCTGTGCCTTTGATCATAGCACGGGCTTAAGCATAGGCTAAGCATCCTAGCCACCTACAAGCTTTCCACAGACATTACTGGAAATTAACTCTGTAGCCTGGCTGTAGTGTGCTTGAACTCACCCACGCCCAGTCCATCCACACCACTTGAAGGAGATCTTGGACCCATGCTAATGGATTCTGCTGGACCTTATTAGCTTATTCTCTGAAAATGTCTCAGAGCTTCAAATAAGCTTGTACTGAAGCACATGCTCGCAGATAAGTGCTGTAAGCAGCAAACAAGACACCAACAGAAGTACAGGCTCAGCCCTCTATGTACAAAGCCAGGGGAACAGAGGCTGGACTGCAGGTTGGCACCCACGAGTGAAGTAAGGAGAGCTAAGTTGCACACAGCTGGCCTTCTGAGCGGACGGCTCTGCTTCATGCCCACTTACCACCATGCTTCCTGCTAGCAAAAAAACCCCACATGACTGAAGATGTTAATGCCCCTTACAGGTGCAATAACACTGTAAAGCGGCATAATTCCTGAGCTGTTTTTGACAAATCTCCTATTAAATAGTCAGTCTAGGATAACCCCAGTAGGAGGCAGGAGCCTCAACAGGGCTTTATAACACCTTCCACAAAATTCCTTTTTTAAAGTCCCAATTGCTGAATTCAGGAAATCATGCATGAAACTTTAGTGGCCATTCAAAAATTAATTGTCTAAACTCAGTTAAAGAAAAATCTTGTGTAAACCTGCTGCATGCAAGCGTCAAAACCATCAGTGGCAGCTCTCCCACCCCAGCTCTCCTACTCACCTGAGGCTTCAAAGACAATGGGAGAAGAGGAGTCAGGATTTTCCTGTGGGACTTTGTACCCAGTTATATCATCCAAGTTCCCATCATCTCTGATGCTGACACTCCTCAGCACGAGGGTAGCAGGATGCTCGGAGGCCCAGCCGCCAGAGGCACGCAGCGAGCCTGTAACATCTTCCCCCATGTAAGAGCAGCCCAGGGCAATATCCACCCTGCGGAACGGAGGTGCTGGTGTGGGACCTTTCTCTGGCCCTTTACCGGGGGGAAAAGAAACGGTTGAATGCATGAACTCCACTGCCCACAAAGAAGAGTGCACGAGTTTCTCTGGGATGGG